TGGCTCGGGGCCGCTACGTGCGGGTAGGAGGAAGAAAGGGTTGGGGAAAAGGCAGTGCTTCGCGAGGGAGCAGAAGCGGTCCTGCCTGGGCAAATAGGTGTGTTCCAGGTGCCAGGGTGTCTCGGTATTGACATAGGCGTAGAGAATAGAGAGAAACAATTGAGCTGAGAAGTGCAAAGTTCATCGGTATTGCAGGGCGCGTTATGGTCACCACATTGTGAAATACTCCTGCCGGCTACACGCAGCTGCGTGAGGGGTTTTAACACCTGTGAGAATGGGCCAATTTTTGTTTTAAAGCGAGATTTTTCTTCTCGAATGTATCGCGCTCCTTTTTCTTCTTGAAGTCAAGAAATTCCTCGGAGTTGGTTGGGTGTTGCCATGTTTCACAGTTGCTTCACAGACTTATTCCGTGCCGTTTAGAAACTTATTAGCAAAGCCATCACTAACAGCTTAACAGAGCTAATATTTCCTTAGTGTAAATGTTGGTAGGCCCAGATTGCTTCACCAGTCTGTTTGCTGGAGCAGAAAGCTTCCTTTTTAACCAGACACTAAATATGTTAAGAGTGAGCCGTCTAGGCTGTTTGTGGCTGTGACGGTAGTTGCTGTGAAGTATCTTTACACAATTATTTTGTTACAGCTCTTATACAGCTAACCTTTGGGGGGACTCAGCAGTAATCATGAAATAAACATTATTCATAGTGGACCTGGTAGCTGCTGTTCAAAAACTTGATTCCTTAACTGTGTAATGTATAAAACTTATAAGGAAAATACTATGAATGTTGAGGGGTTTTAATTGTTTGACTCTAAAATTGAGTCCAAACCAATTTGCTTATATATTTGGGCTCAGAGACTCCAGAAACTGTTACAGGTAGTGTAAACAGCTATTCTTCTCCAGGCAGCTGCAGCACAACTTTCTCTTTTTCCAAAAAATTAAAGTCTGAAACAAACAGCATGAGATTTCTGTTTTCTAATTGCTGCTTTTCCTAATAACATACAAAATATTTCTTACTCCAAATACTTTTGAGGGTATGCGAGACTTGACCTCCCTGGTATGTCGAGCTGTTTTCAGACCCTATCTGGAGGGATTATTGACAGTACAAACAATTGCACATCTTTATTGACTCCCTTTAAAAGTTTTGGTGAAGCAATTTGGTTTGAATTCATTGATCACATGCAGTGTGTTCATTCGTAAGTGCTGCTTAGTAAATGGAAAAAAAATCCCCAGATTTTGAATATCGTTTTTTTCTAATTATGGTATTGTCCTGTTGCTCTGTAAAAGCAGTCATATGATGACTAAAGCATGAAAAATAATCCTGTGGGTTTTGTTGCAGAAGCAGTTTGTGCTAATGTGGTCTTGAAGCAGGCTGCCTTGATAACCTGTGCTGATATAACTCAAAGAGATGATAGATGTGTTACGTTATTCATTACCTTGTATTGGTTTTCAGTTCCATTTAAAAGAGAAGTTTAATTTGGTATACTTGGGAGTCTGCAAATATAATGATTGCAGCTTAGAAACTGCTTTTGCTACGTTGCAGGATTTTAAGCATAGAGGGAGACGGTTTGGGGAAAAATAATGCTATTTGAAAGAAGAAATGGTATACTACATTGAGAGTTCTCAATTCTGACACATTTAAAACAGTAGTATAGTGAATTGACCTATAGTAACTTCTAGGTGGCAGAAATAGCAATGGGATTTTTTTTTTTTTTTTTTTTTTAAATCTATTAAAACCCTGAACTTCTGGAACCCAAAACTATCTGGAGCTTGGAGTTTTCTCAGTCATTTGTCAGTATCATCTGCTTTTTTCAAACTACTGAATTTCAAAGCCTTATGTGGAAAGCTGGCTTGTTGTTGAGCTTTTTGTGTGTGATTTTCTTTGGTGTTATGTAGCTTTTGCAAGTAGGTTCTCTGGCAGCTGTAGTTTTAAAATACAAAATTTTATTTGGTTAATAAGGGATTCTATCAGATTCCAGATAGTGGTTCTGTTATTTGTTTCAGTTTAGCATGGTTTTTTTTTTTCTATATGGTATCTTTTAGTGGATACTATTGTGATTACGTGTTGTGCCATGCCACAGGATCAATGTCATTGATTCATGAGTAGCAAGTATGGAATAAGTAACGCATAATAACAACTTAAAAATGTAGGATAGCTACTGCTGTGTTGAGCCTTTGGAAATCTTCTTTGAAAACTGTCTTTAGAAGTTCAGTTTTATGGACTAGGTAGAATTCTCTAGTGCAAGATATTTGTTCGTGAAGCTTATGTTCTCATTGACCAAAGAATGGGGATGGGAAAATAAATCTCTTTTGACTTGTCTTTTAAACTGTTTGAACTACAACTTAAATACTCTGTTACTATTAGTTTCAAGTAAACTTATTTATTAACAATAGGATATAAAAGAAAGTTAGCCTTCTGTGAGATCTATTTAAAAATCATTTCAGATATCTGTGGTTTATCTCTATTACCCAGTTTACTGGCAGGATTTAATTTCTCGCATTTCTTATGCTAAGTTGGCTTTATTTTCTAATGTACTTGTCCATTACTGACCTAACCAAAACCAACTTTATATATTAGCTTTTCACAAATATTCACTCTGCTGTCTCTTTTTTCCTTCTAGGAGTATATTAAAGGACTCTGTGAACCTGAACTAGAAGAAAAGGAGTACTACCCAAAGGACATGCACTGCATCTTTGTTGGTGCACAGAGCCTGTTTCTCAACAGTCTTATTCAGGATACCTGTGCTGATATAACAGTGCTGGAAATAGGATTGCTCAGTATTAAGGGGGGTGCAGAAGCTGTTGTTATGGCTCAAAGTCATGTTCAGCAGTTTGTGAAGCTTTTTGAGAATAATGAAAGCTTATTAAGTGACAATGAGTCAGAGATTAAAAAGCAGTTCAGACAATTTGTGGAAGCACACGCAGATAAATATACAATGGATTTACTGATTTTGCCTAGCTCACTAAAAAGAGAACTCCTAGCTCTCACACAAACTGAATGTTGTGAAGTGGAGAGCGATATCATAGATCTTACAGGTTCTGAAAGCTCAACAGAACTTTTAGAGAACAAAGCCTCCAAAGTAATTGCTACAAACAGAGATGGAAGAGCAGGTGGTGAGGAAGCAAGAAACAATGCTGGCACACCTGTAACTGAGCTTACAAAGCAGATGGACACTGTCTTTTCTGATGCTCCTGAAACAAGTTTTATTCCCATAAATGTTGTGCCTCTGTTAGAGGCAGTGGTGTCTAAAGAAAGACAGTCATGTAAAAGAAGATCTTCTGATGATGAGGAAAGGCTCCCTAAAAAGCAATTCTCTTTGGAAAATGATCAGGAAGTGAAATCTGCTTCTCACAGTAATCATTTAGACAGTGATGCAGTTGATATCCTTTCGAATAGCTGCAGTGAATCGGGTGATCCCAGTTATTGCCTTAAAGAAGGGGATGATATCAGTGAGGAAATGGAATATAAGATTCTTGTGAACTTTTTCAGAACAATGGGCTATTCACAAAATATTGTAGAAAAAGTTATTGGTATCCTGGGACAATCTGTGGAACCATTAACATTGCTAGAAGAAATTGAAAAGGAAAATTTAAAATTTCAAGAAGAACACGAACAGTCATCTCAAAAACCTAGAACTATCAATCCTCCTTTAGGAAGTAACGCAAATAATTCACAAAAGCTAGAAGACAAAGGCATTTCTAGCAATAAAGGTCCACTTAAATCCAGTCATACTTCAAAGGGGGCAAAAAATGAATATCACAAAATAAGAGATTCACCAAGCATGCAAGTTGATGCAGAAGATAAAATGCATATGTTGGTATGCAAACCTGCTTCTTCTTCCAGTAAAAATTCAGCTATATGCTATAAACAAAGAGACATTTATTGCCCTGGTAAGAATCATAGTTCAAGGTCAAGTGATACAGAAACCGATGACGGTGTAACTTTCAGCACTATACAAGCTGGAGCTCTAAAAGATGTTGATTTTGTAGCCAGAGGGAGCTCAGATGTACAGCATATCTCAACTAAGACTAAAACTGAAGTTCAGCAAAAATCTGCAGGGCCCTCAACTGTACAGAATAGTCATCCTGTTTTTGAGGACCAATTAGGACACTGCAGCTCTTCTCAAGTGAGAGCTCTCAACCAGTGCCTTTCTCAAACATCAAATTCTGAAAATCCTGTCCCAGACCAGGTATTGTCTTCAGAAATACATCCTTCAAGTCCTCATAGAGACACGGTGGGACCACACAGACGTCATCCTGATCCTTCAGTTACTGGAGTTCAAAGATTTTTGGAATCTCTGAAAAAACCATACAGACTGGAGTTGACAAATGAACCTGGGAAACCATATTTGAAACATGTCATTATTGATGGAAGCAACGTTGCCATATCGTAAGTATTGTTCTTTTCAGCTTTCTCTTTCTAATAAAGTTCAATGAGCTTTCAAATTAAATAGGGACTGAGAGTTTACTGTGGCATGTGTAAAGTTTTTGCTAGCTAGCTAGCTTTTTGGTGACTGACAGTCCATGTACAGAGCAAGATTTTTCAGCTGCTGGTAATGGCTGCATTGGTAAGTTGTGGTAAGGCTTGATAATGAAAAATTGTGTGAGATTGACAGTAGCCATTTTACTTTCCAACACACAGCAATTTTGAAAGTTTTTATTCTCTCTTTAGTGACAGCGTTCACTTTTATGACTGACTTGTTTGGAGTTTTTATTCTTTGTTGAGATACTGTGCATAGAAGGAAATTCAGAAGTTTTTAGCAGGTGCGCTGTATGACACTTCAGTACACAAATCTAGCTAAAACAGTGTGGTTGTGCAATATTCTATCGTGAAACAATTCTTGCAGAATTTACTTTTGGTTTAAAAATTACATAGTCTGAAGTTGAACAAATACAATAATTTCTTAAAATAGAGTAAGGCAGATCCTTGATTTTGACTTAAAAATTGGTTGATAATTGCAATGCTCTGGAAAATATTTTCTGTAAAGCCTTTCAAGACTTAGCTTTCCTGCTTTGGTAGAAATTTGCAAATTTGTAAAAGCAGGTAGTTCAGATTTATAAGCCCAAATACTGAAATAATCTGGAAAAAAAAACTTTAACAGAATAGGCAATGAAAACTAAAACTAGAAATACGTTAGCAGTAGATGAGATCCTTTTTGATAACCAGATGTTTCAAAATGAAAAGTGAATTAATTCTGCAGTATTTCTTATTAGGCAGTGGTAAAATTTGAAGCCTGATTTGTGCTGTTTCAGAGCAACCTACTTTGAATTATCAGTGCTCCAGCTCAATGAAACACTTCAGTCAGGAGTAATTTGTGAGCTCCACTCTGTTGACAGTAATTTTATGCATGAAACTTAATTTGCTTTGCATGCAGTTAATGAAGAAGTTGAGTTACCATCAACTTAAGTGTTTTGGTTTTTAACTTTTGCTTTTAGCATCTTGTAATTTAAAAGTGGAAGTTTTTGTATAGTAGTAACATATTTGTCTTTTGATAACGTTACACGTTAGTGCTTGGATCCTGTTATTTTTTGCAAATGTGGGCATGCAACAAAAATATTCCATTCCCCCCATAAAACTTGCAGAATAGGGAACCATGTGTATGTATGCACACACCTTGTCTCCTATTTCTCCCGATACCTGAAAGAATGTATGCAAATGGTAATAGACAATTATATGGCTGTTGGATGATTTTAATAGATTGGCTGACAAGGCACCATGCAAACAAACCTTATGAAATGGGCACAGTTAATACTGAAAAGATCAAGAAGTCTCTTTTCATTTACTATGATGAAGGGATTTTCAGTTATTTTAAGTGTCTTCTAAATCGCACTTTTTTTTTTCTCAATGTTTCTATTGTAGACAACTTTAGAGGATGTTGCCAATTACAATTTTTTTTTAAGTTTATTTAACTGGAATAGCAAAAATCAGTTAGAATCTGTATATCTTTAAAATATTGGCAATGGGATGATTTTGTCTCATCAAACATTTGTCTCATCAAAACTATCCTTGAATTGATGGCTCTTCTCTAGTCAGGAAGATACTTGGAGTTGTTCTTTTTATGCTAAGTAATTTTGGCAAGCATGCATGTCAAAAGGTTTTGTCAGTGTTTGCTATGGGGCTCTTTGTAGTTTTGGAATATGAAAGTGAGCAATGACAAATGCAGTATTTCTAATTAATGAGGAAGTGGTAGTTTTTAAGAACGAACTGACTGATTGTTCTGATCCATTCGTCAATGTAACAATAAGTAAGTGTAAACTTATTATGAGAATTTCCTGTTAAAGATTTTTTTTGTGGATTCAGAGTCCTCTGCATTAAACCCTTCCAAGTACAGAAATTAGTTCTCATTCTGAAACCCTGCTGCCAGAACCGAAATGGAGTGCTTTAAGCAAAAAAACAGTAATTCTGAGAAAGATCATCTGTATCCCTAGAAAAGATTAGGCTGTATAAGTGTTTCTTCACACTTAAACTATTTTAAAATATGGATTTTAACCTTGGAGACTGGAAATCCTGAAGAGCCTCATATCAACTATACTACCTTGTATTTAGTTGTAACTAATTCTTGAATAGGATATTTTCTAAGAATAGGCCAGAGTACTACAGTGACCCAGTGAATTCTGTAGGATGCTCTTAGGCTGAGAAAAAAACATCTGACTGGTTAAGACACATGTATCTTATGTCGTCTACTTCCAGCTGTTAGATGAAAGAGGCTTCCCAAAAGAATGGGCTTAAATGCTGTTTAGGGGAAGAAAATAAACTTTTCCAGCAAAAAGAAAATTATAATGTTATCTACCATAAGAAAATGGTCCTAAAATGTCCTAAATGAATTTAATGTTTCAGACAGCTGAAAGCTGGTACCGTTTCCCAGAAGTAACTGTAAACGTAGCTCTGCAAGTGCATGTACATACAGTTATGTTGATGGGGGAAAAAATTGATGTATCTTCTAGTTTCAGAGAGATAAAGATGCACTTAGATACTGTTCTTTCATGGTTATGAAAGATCTACTTTAGCTCCTAAACATTTTAGCAAAATTCATGGAATAGCGAAACTTTCTCCATTGTTAGGGGTAATAAATACTTCTAATTCCCTTTTCTCTGTAATACGTATGAATTTTGCTTGAGAACCGAAATAATAAATTCTGTTGTTGTTTTTGTGAAGGGCTAGCAGAACTGTTAATATTATTTTTAGCAAATCGGGGAATCAATCTTGCCATCTTCCCTTTATGTGCAGGCTTAGCCTGGTGATTTCTGTTTTGATACCTTGGTATTTGCTGATAACTTATGTAAACTACCAGATGACATCTTGAAATTCCTAGACATATATTTCATTCCGAAATATTTTGTTTTAAATGTAATTCATATACAAATATATCTCACTTTGCCTGTTTTTTTTTTTTGACAGGCCTTTTATGTATTTGCACGCTTTCCTGTTAGGTTACTGTTTTTCAGAACAAACCATTTTTTAATGACGATTAGCTTCAAATGCAGTTAAAGGACCGAGGACCTAGTAGTATAGAAATGTTTGCAGTTAGTCCAGAAAGTCTCTATAGCACAGATGAGGTGTCAAAAGTAAAACTAAGTAACGACTTCTGTTTATGAGAAGGAATGTCAGATTTCTTAAGGTGTAACCTTTCTGACCAAGTGATCATTAATTTAAGAAGGTGATGATCAACCTTATAAATTTGTTTCCTGGGTTAAAGAGCCCAGAGGTAATCACTTATGACTGGCAACAGTAAAACTTTTCAGGACAGTCACTGGAGAATTAATTGAATTAATCTGTTAAGGTTTTCTGTCATTTTTTAGTCTTGCTGACTTTAAAGGGGAAGCCTGACATGATCCATAGCTCTTGGTACTGATTTAATTCAAGTACATCATTTTGTTGAGTAAACAGGTTTTTGAACAATGAGGAAATGTTTGCTTTGACTGTTATTTAGAAAATAGTGATGTAAAAGTGCAAGTCACAACTGAGTCATAAGCTACCCAAACACTTTAAAATTATTTCCCAAATGTGTATTAGTGGAAGAGAAATGCAAATTGTTGGGGTTGTGTAGAAAATACACAAAGAGGATGTGAGGTATTTCTTGCATGGCTTTTTTTTTTTTTAATATGGAGAGACATTTTTTCATCTGCATATTTCATCTATGGGGGGTTTTGTGTCTGAGGTTTTTTTTATTAAGAACAACCAAACACATCTGAAACCAATGAATTTAAAAGATTGTAAATGAACATCTGCTTATCTCTTTGATGACTGTGGGACTACTGTAGGCGGTGGTCTCCTAACTCTTTTTGATTGAGTACCCCTATCGGTAAAAAAGTCTTCGAGCATACACCCGCAATATATGTACGTTTATCGACTATATATGTGCATTACTGAAGCTCTAATGTTTCCTTCATATACCACAAGGGATTGTCTTGCACAGCAGCTGGGATGCACAGGCCTCACCTTAGGCTAAGGCATAGTAGCTGGGCACCATTGACATACAGTCCCCAAATATGGTTATACAACATCTGCTGCCTGCTGCTCAACCACATGAAAACTCAGCTTATGAAAAGCAAAAGACAGAGAACTGCCTCAAAATAGCAAAACCATCAAGATATTTAAATGTCCTTCGAAATAATCAGTGCATGGGGGCCTGGAGTTTTTTTTTGATGTAGGTATTCTGCAGCTTCCTTCTAGCTAAATCATCATTATTTTCTGACATCTTAGAAAGAGATGAATTGTTTTCAATTTTGTTTTGAATTGTTTTCAGTTTTACTTCTTGGTACCTTGAGGTTATAGACATCTGCTTCCATGCCTATGTTGGGGTTTTTTGATCAGTGGGTGTCATGTGTTTGGCGGGGAAGGTCTTAATGCGTTGCCTGGATGTTTGGACTAAGACCGAATGGGCTTCTGAATCACTACCTGCCTTGTGTCTTAAGTCTGAAAGACTACAAGAAGCTGAAGAATTTTTGCTGTTGACACATGCAGCCTGGTAAAAATAACACATTGATATATTAATGCTAGCTGTAACTCAGTGTGCCTGTTGAATGAGAGAAAGCCCAGAGTTTACTCTAGCCGCTGACAAGTATTTTTAAAAATTGTCTCTTTTTGTGTGCTGAGAACAGGCCTTTCAGGGCAGACTGAAATATCCAGATAGTTGTTGGGTAACTTTAATTTAAATCTTATTAAAATGTGTAAGAAACTCTGAATGAGAGAGTAATTGGATGGAATTTATCTTGCTAGAATTGTTTGTAAATAATGATGTGTACCTTTCTTAATTTAGTTAAAAAAAACAAAGGGAAAACATTACATGTCCCAGAAAGCAACCTGCCTCTTGCTGATTTGGGCTGCTTCTGTTCATCTGTTTAACTTAAGACATACCTTTGTAGGGTCTTCACAAAGAACTGGGACAGGCAAAACCAGTATTTACAATGGCAGTTGGGGAACAGATGCAGTCTTTGAGATGGATGTCTTGAAAAGACCACCTTGCTGTGGTCTGTGCTGTGTGCTGTCCTTCAGATGTTTACCTAGCTCAAATAAAGCATTTTGTGTTTCTGTTTATCTAGCAGTGACATATCTATTCATATTCTAGCTCACCTTAATTCTACATGTTATTTGGTAAAGGTAAATATATTTCTTCTATTTGCATGCTTGTTTTTGTGGGGTTTTTTAAAGTTGCTACAGAGCCAGAGTTTGTGATCATACAGGACAAATCAAGAGTTGCTGTTCTAGGTATCAAGCGTTTAAATAACAGTATACTCTCTGTAGTTCTGCAAGTTTAAAGCTCTGAAACAGGAGAAAGGACAAATAGAGAAGGTATCATTTTCAACATGAATATCGAGACCTCTGTGTCTCTTGAAGTCAAATTGAGAGCTGTGAAAGTATTTAAAAGAGTTTTCCATCCTATTGAATAGGATACGTAACTTAAAGCGGCGGAATGAAGACTTCATTTTAAGTTTGACCTAGAAATTTTACGAGCGGTAACTCTTCTGTGACAATTGCATTCCTTTATTTGATTGTTCTTGACATCAAGAACACTTAATTTTATTAGGGCAAAGGTGGTATAGGGGGTTTTTTCCTCCAGAAACTGTCAATAAGTCAGATTTTTTGCGTTTTATAGTTCAGATGTAGCTTACTCAGTTTTCTGCCCTTCTACATAAAACATTACTCTCCAAATTCAGAGAACCTGATGTATTTTGATACACGTATTTTAAAATGAGTTTACAAAATTGGAGAAGGATATGTGAATGCTACAAAAATATTTCCATGGAGGTGTTTTAAAGAACACTGTTCAGAAGATTTCCTGTTAGGTTAAACTAGGGGTTTAAAGATAAGATTCCATTCGAAACTAATAAGGCTTATTATTAGGCTTATAATATACAATTGCACATTAAATAGGAGACTGGTTTAAAATACGAACACCACTTGGTCACTTGTGAGAAGAGCTTTCTAGTGACTTAACATCTAACTCAACACAGAATAAGTACTACTTTGTATGAAGTGCTTGGCTTGTTCATGCCATCAGTTCTGAATTAGTATGTCTTTTCTAACTAAGTATATCTTTGTTTTGTCTAAGTATAGCCTCTAATCTATGAAAATGCAAGGGGGAAGGTTTCTGAATGAAAACAGGATTTAGCCTTATGTAAGGTACTAATAGGTGTTTTGTAGGAATTTATTCCAGAGGTATCTTTGATTTTGTTTTCTGTGCTTTATTTTAAGATTCTCCTTCCATTATCCTCCAGAGAAGCTCAGTTCTCAGAGTCTGGTTAGAAAGTTAATTGCTAAAGGAGGACTTCCTGCCATGTCTTAAATGGGCATAGAGGATTATTGGGATAATTCAGACTGGGGGGGACCTCACAAGGTCATCAACTCTGATCTCTGTATTGCTCATATTAAGCAGTTGCTGATTTTTCTGGAAAGTCATTTAGTTGAGTTCCACAAACAAGTAGTGAACATATTACATTTTTAAATAGGGGAAAAAAAATTACCACTAAACTACAGTGTTTTGAAAATCTTTCTTTAGAGAAATTTCATTATTTTGCTTGGAAATGGTAGCTCAGATTGTTGAAACGAAGGGAGGGGAGGCCTTAATATCTTAGATTATTTTGAGAATATGTAGTTCTTAGATGTAATCCTTGGGAAACTGTTGAACCGAAGGTGTTCTGTTTTGTAGTGGGACTGTATTTGAAACTACCACTATACTAGATTATGATCATTTTAATCTATAATCAGTAGATTTCAGAAAGCATCACTATTGGCTTGTTTTTAAAGCTAAATGCGCTTCTGGTTACTCAAATACGGTTGTGCCCACAAAACTGAAAGGAGACTGAGCTATAAAGTTGCAAAGTGATGTTTCCATTCTCTTCTTTTGCTGAAGATCTCTTTCCTTTTGTAAGATTCTTCATATATAACATCCATCTACCTTTTATTTTGGTGAGGCTGTATGTGCAGCTTCCAGCTTCACTTTGCAAGGTTTTGTTCAGTTTTCTTTGTATTCGTAGTAGTAAAACTCTTAGTGAATTTAATCTCCTTTCTCTTTCTTTCACCCTCAGTCATGGTCTAAGGAAATTCTTCTCCTGTCGAGGAATTGCAATAGCTGTTGACTATTTTTGGAAACGTGGCCACAGAAATATTACCGTATTTGTTCCACAGTGGAGAACAAGACGTGATCCTTACATTACAGGTGAGGGAACTAGTTTCCTGATGTTTTCTTTATTAAACTACATTGTAACTATTTCTTTAGGTACTTCTATGAAGAATGAATGGAGAAGGAATACTTCATAAAACATTAAGCACGAGCAGTCTCACTGTCAGCATGAGTAACGGGGTTTCTGTATACAGTGCAAGGCACTCTGAAATGCTGTTTAGGCTAACTGATGTGCAATAAATGGAGGCCTCTTTGTTTGGTTTAGTTTTTATTTGCTCTGTAATTTCTAGTTTCAACCTCTTCCTTGCCCTTTTTATAATATTAGCAATTCTTCAGATATCAGTATGTCTTTTCTGTAGATTAACTGGTACAAAAATAGCCCATCTTCTCTGCTGCTTATATCTCAGACTAATTGTCAAATCTATAAATAGCCTAGAAGAAAGCTTTTGTTGTTAAGAACAGCTGTTCCGTGTTTTAACAGAGCAGGATTTCTTAACACAGCTCCAGGATGTTGGAATATTGTCTTTAACCCCTGCAAGGATGGTTTTAGGAGCAAGAATTGCTGCTCATGATGACAGGTATGGAATATACATAGTTTTAAAGTATTTTTTAAACAGTTGACTAATAGTTGTAAAAGTTTAATACTTCATGTGTGGTTGATTTAGCTGATTCTTCAACCTGTCTAGACAGTGCTGTGCATCCAACTGAAGACTGAGTTCCTCATCTGTTAGGTTATTTTACTGCCCTAAGAAACATTTCTGTATGTAATTCTATAATAGTAGTGTACATATAGTTTTCAGAAATTCATGGAAAATGGCAAGTTTTCATGGCAATTTTAACCAAAAAAAAAAAAAAGCTTAATCTGTTTCAAATGTCATCACTTGCATTGAGGAAGAAATTAGTCTTCTAGTAATGTTTTTATGCTTTTCTGATCATCAGTCTATCCCCGAATTGAGCACTAGCATAAATCAGCTACTGATCAGGTACTATTTTGTTCTCTTTTTCTTGATGCCATTGTGGCATACAGATATAGATGTGTGTTTGGAGCAGTGTATTTCTAACAATGTGTAGACTAGTAAATTTCCACGTTAATTTGAGCGCCAAAGCACAACTTCAAAATGTGAGGATAATCTGTCAGTGAACGAGACAACAGTAAGCTTTAAGGTTTTTTGTTGGGCATTGGGGGCGTTTCCTAGTGCTTGCATTGATAACTGCCAAATTTTCCCAGTCTTGACACAGCTGAAAGAAAGGGCATGCTGTTTCATTTTTTTTTCCACAACCAGCTTTCTTAATTCTGCATGGATGAGCGGTTTGTAGCTTTGAAATTGTGTTTTACAGCTAGCTATAGTTTGCTGGATTTTGGTTTCTTCCTTCCTACTAATAATCATTCATATTTTATTTTTCTAACTACAAAATTGTCAGGTTTTTGCATCATAGGCGTACCTATTTTTGTTAGATTGCACAGTTGTGTGCCTTATTGCAAAACCTGGTATGCAAAAGTTATATAAAGTAGAGTGCACTTAATTTATCTTCCTCTTTAAAATATAGCAGCTCTAATTTCTTAATAACGTTGCATAAAAAAAAGTACAAGGCAGCCAAGTTGGAGTTGTTTACACGCTAATATTTTATATACACCCTGTATTTCATATAAAACGCTATGTTTACAGTTGAGGTTACTGTGGAAATGAGTGTTGTGCTAACATATTTGCACTTTGGTCAAAAGTGTACGCTTTTCTTTAAAAGGGTACCATCCATTATCTCTTTGCTAAAATAGTTTCAAATGGCAAAGAGCTTGTTTTCAGATAGCCTAAAAACGCCATGGGATTTTCTTAAATCAGTAGTTACCTTTTGTCATAATTTGTTTAACAACAAAGTGGTAACAGCACTCTTTGTTAACAAGTGTTGACAGAGCGAACAACTAGCACAGGTAACACTATCTTGCAGAACACGAACATTAATGCTAAGCAAAAAAGCAGATGGAAATAAGTTTGTGTTGGGATGTGTAACAAATACTGTATTTTTTTTGTAAAGCAAACCATTTACCTCTACAAATCTGATAATCCCTTGGGCTTCGGGGAGTTTTGCTTATGGGTTTTTTTAAATGGAAAAAAAAGCCTTCCATGAAGACTCGGCTGCACTAAATAAATGTGTGCTACCTGAAACGTTTAAAGTTATATGGTGGGTCAAACCAGAGTAATTTCCTGGTAATCTAAGTGCTGGTTTCATGCAAATAGATTACTCTTGGATGGTGAAATGTTTAGTTTTCTACATCTTTGGACAATTTTCAGCAAAGCAGACTATCTTAATGGTCTTTGAAATGGATTTTGCAGGTTTTTATTACACCTTGCTGATAAAACTGGAGGTGTTATTGTGACTAATGATAACTTCAGAGAATTTGTGACAGAATCACTTGCCTGGAGAGAAATTATTCAAAAAAGGTAATTACTCAATTTCTTTGAAAGCTTAAAAGAATGTCTGTCAGTTACAGTTGCAGGCACTCTACCTTGATGTTTTGGGTTTTTTATTTTTAATCTGTCATGCCATTCTGTTCGAGCCCAACAAAGTACTCTCTGTGTCTTACCACTTTGATTCATGGCCTTATAATCGTGTGTTGAGTAGTCTAATGTCCCTATTATTCATATTCTCTAATGTACATATTAGTTGCTCACGTGAACAGGAGCTTGGTGTAGCAGCCAAGATATATCACTTCTGAAGCATGGTGTTAGAGTATATGCTTTGTGGTCTGTTCTCACAGGCTTTCTTGTTTTACATTTCATTTCTTCAAGGAGACATGATAGCTGATGTAGACATACAGTGTCACTTTTAAGGTTTCAGAATCAAACACTGTAGTGTAGTACAACAATCGGCATAGCTAAACAAAATAATGAACACTTACATAGTATCCCTGTGGCCATTTTGCTGCAATTGTTGAGTGTCCTTTGGGTTTAGATAAGTTCGCTTAGCTAGCAAATATCCCCGCTTCATCTTGCGGATTCTCTGTGAATTCTAGTTTCTCCGTGCAACTGGTTTTCCCCCCCCTCCAGTTAAATCAGGTCACTTTACTATTAAGTTATGATCTCCTGTTGCCCAAATTTCACCCTAATCCCTCAGTGTCCCTGATATCTTCTGGGGGTAAATCCACTGCAGTAACTGGGGTCTGTATAGATCTAATGAAATCAATAATTGAAAACTGTCCTGGTTCTCACAATATAACTAGGAGAACATGGAATTTATGCTGACTAATCATTAAGGTATTTACGCTATTTCTTGAGTGAATTCTGCCCAAATCAGGTTCTGTTCTCCTACAGAACTTTAGCAAGAAAACTTAGCACCTTAGTCTGAGTCTGTGGTTTTTTGAGAGCGTGTGTTAACATCTGCTATTAGTTTTACTTCTGGGGAAATTCCACTGTACCAAATTTTCTCATCGCAGACAAATTTTAGTTGAACTGGTTTCCTTCAATGCATATTTCCCCCTGCCCCGAAATGATTCCAGAAAAAAAGCTTCTTTGTGTCTTAACTGTAAACAGCTAATGCTATGTTTGCTAGTTTTGTGGCTTTCTGATAACATACACATTTTCGCTATGTGGTTGAAGATTCTTGCAGGGAAGGGGAGTTTGACCAACCAGATCTTCTCCAGTCACCTATAGAATTTCAATCCAGTCTCTTTGCGATGATGAGTGGTTTGGGTCGCTTAAATCACCGTCAAAGATACCAGGAAAAAGGCAATTTTTAATATGAATTTGTAAAAGTGTGACTGAACAAAGTTCAATGGCAAGGTTTGCTATTACTTGCTACATGGGAGAAATATACAAAGGAAAATGGACTCGGAGTTGGGCTAGAATGATTTTACACAGAGATTGGGAATGAAGGAGGTGAGGACGCCCTCCCATAGAGTCTTGGAGGTTCAGAATGGACCTCTTTGCTCTATAACTCCTTCTTCGAGAGGAGTTTAGGTGCGGCTAGATCTTATCTTAGTCCCAGGCTTGGTCAATGGTTAATGTCTAAAGATATAGAGGATGAAGGGGACCCTCCCATTGAGTCATGAGGTTCAGAATGGACTCCCTTCCTCTCTAAACTTCTCAGAGAGGACTCTAGGTGTGGCTAGATCCAAACTTAGTCCCAGACTTGGTCAGTGGTTTATGTCTAAGAGAGTTTGGGTACAGGGAGTTCAGTGGTATTGATTTAACATGGCATTATGGGTCCTATATAACTAAGTAGCAGTAATTTAAAATTTATTAACACTGTTACAGCCGGATTTATGATTTTATAGCAATGCTTAATCAGTCAATAATTGGTTATAATCAATGCAGTGGTTTAATTAAAGATTCAACAAAGTTCTCTAATCAAGTTATACACATACACACACAGGGATACAGAGGTTAACCTATGATTAAGATGTTTACTTTCTGCAGATTATGGTAGATTTTTGGTATACCAAATGACCTTTAGGATTTTACGAAATCTAATTGTAGTGAATTACTCATGTTTCCCTTCGTCAGCTTTTACAAGTGGACAGTCTTTCCCTTCATCTGCCTTGCCAGCAGACAGTCAGAGTCTGCTCTGAGAGGCATCCCAACTCGAGGGAAATGCCGAGTCACAGCTGCAATCCCAGAGAGCTGAGAGGGCCTCACTTAAGATTGGTATTTATAGGGTCGTAAGGTGATTGACTTTGATCAGTGTTTTTTTTTTTTTTCATTGTGGCCATTATTATTGTCAGGCAGGAGGAGTTGCGGGTACATTCCCCCGTTTCAGGTGTGGTTAGGGAGTGCCAAATCTTTCCAACTCACTATACTTGCACCCAGGACAAGAAGGAACCAACTCGCTTCAACTCACTGCCTCATTAGGCAAGATCAGAAAATACTAGTTTGTCCCAGCTCACTGGATTTTGTAATTAAACAAGAACACAATGGCTGGGGCTGACATCACAATGTGGCCCAGGGGTGTCTGCACCACCAGTCTTCCAACTGCGTCAAATCAAAAAAAAAAAAAAAAAAAAATAAAAAAGGAAGAAAAAAGCTCAGTGTTCTGGTTGTATCTGAAATGGGTTACTAGTTAAGCTTCAGTGACTCCTGATGCAGTGTGAAGTGTCTGCTCTAAGGCAACTTGTCCTGTGCTACAGAGGTGAAGGGCAGCGATGGTGTAATACATTGTTAGTAAATAATATTGAAAGAACTCTCTTGCAGGTTGCTGCAGTACACTTTTGCTGGTGACATATTTATGGTTCCTGATGATCCTTTGGGAAGAAATGGACCCAGATTAGATGACTTTCTTCGAAGTGAAGGCCGTTCTAGGTATAAGCACTGTTTTCACTTTTGAGACTGTTACAATTTCACATTTGAAGTAAACTGTTTTCCTGGTTCACTTGAACACTTCTTTAGATCTATATAGTAAAGGTACAATAAAATTAAGCAAGAACACTGTAGGATGTAGTAGCTTAACAAAAACATGTTTTTCCTGTTACTTCAGTCTGTTCAGAAACTGCTGGTGACATTTTCGTCTAATCAAGATCTCTATCAGAACTAAGATAAGTAAGACAATAACTTCCCCTGAGGTTTGAATGTGGTGGCCTTCATACAAAGGTGGTCCAAACTCTGTTAACATCACACAAAACTGCCAGTGGTTTGGGTATGTGATAAGCTGGTGTCCTGTTAATTACAGTGATGTTATTTAAAACACCTTGGTTGATCACTCGTTGATAGTGGGACAGTAGGTGCTACAAAAGAAACACTCTACGCTCACATTCTTTTTTATGGGAGAGACTTTTCATTTCACACTTGAGGGTAATGTACTGTTAATAAAGTTATTTTTGAGAGGCATTGTTATTAAATGCATTTGTATTTGATTCGTAATTTTAAATATTAACAAACATATGTTGTTCCTTTAAGATCATTGTGATTTTTAAATATGCATATATTGAAAGTATGAATTTGCTTTGCATTAACTGCCAAGACTTGAGAATGGGTGTGCTCTTTTGCATAAGAAAACAAGTTGCTCTTTTCCCTTCTTTCACCAGTTTAGGAACTATAAATGCTTATGATACGAGTATTGAGAGAGCTTTTAGAAAAAAAGCGAGGTAATTGGAAATCAGCTATTGGAAACAATTGAGGAACATGAGACATGTATATACCAGTAGGTCACAGGCTGAAAAAAGGAAGTGCGATTCTGGAACTCCAGTAGGAATTGCTAAAAAAGTATTCAAGCTCTTAATACAAAACCCTTACAAGATGTCATTTGGAACACTGTTTTAGCCATCTATGTCCAAAAAAAATAAAGTGAAAACAGAATGTGTTCTGAGAGGTGACTGTGATGATTGTAGATATGGAAAGAGATTCTTTTGAGAAGAATCTAGGAAGAGCTTGGTTTCCTATCTGTGAACTTGGAACTGGAACTAGGCTTTGGTTTTGGGGAGTGTGTGGCAGGTTTTTTTAAGAAAAGGTGAAATGTAAAGAGTTAATTTTGTTCCTTACCTGAGACTTTTCTATGTGAGTTAAGTGATGCAGAAAGCATAAATGGCACCAGGAATAAGATCAGATACTAGAATGATCTCAAGCAATAGAGAGCCTTTCCATGTTGAGTAATGGGAGGTGTCGTAACCTAAATGCTTTTAAAATAGAGCTCTGTAATTTAGATACAGTTTCCCTTTGGTGGTAGGAATCTAGACTGTAACATGAGTTCCAGTTCACATTTCTGTGTTATCTGGTGGCATCTGAAGTAGACTTGGCCCTAAATTTTGTAGTGCTAGCAGTTTAGAGTAGCAACAACTTTTCAAAGTCTGAAATTAAATTACTGAAAGAATATTCAGATCCTGAAATTGCTGAAAATCTTCATTGCCCCATTAAGGATATCACATGAGGGAAACAAGGCCTTGATCTAAATGTGAGCAGAGCTCACAGTCATGAGCAAAAGTAGATGAGGAATAGTCTTGTGGAGCATCTGGAAGCCCCTTTGGTCTGTCAGTACTTTCACATGTTCTGAGTCAGTGCACATGTGTTCAATGTATCTTTTTATCCATTTAATAATACTGATGTTGATACTTACATAAAATAAGCTTTGACTGTTGCTGTATTTTGTCAAGTAAGTACTCACAGCATATTGGAACTAGTCCTAAATAATATTAATGTTGTTAGTTGTGCCAGGTTCAAATTGAAAACTGTTACGCCTACTGTTTTGTTTCACTTTGAAAAAAAAGCTTGTCATTTGATTCCAATCAGTAACTAGCTGAGCAGCAGTGTAGGAGTTATGCATTTGTCTTTTCTGTGTTTGTAGAGAGAGAGCTAGCATCTCCTTTACCTTAATTTAATCACCATTTTTATTTTGTTCCATAGAGACTTTCAGTCAGCAAAAAAGGCTTTACAGAGCAGTGGACAATATTCTTCTGAGACACCTTTCTTCGTACCAGTCCCCAAACCAACCAGTAGCAGTCGGCAGCCTAAAAACAGAGTACATGGTGATCGTGCATCAACATGGCTTCCGCTGGAAACAAACATACAGGCTTGTCTAGCAATTCCACCACAGAGATCTGCCTCAGAAACAGTACAGCTAAGAGAAGCCTTGATAAAAATTTTTCCTGATTATGAGCAAAGACAGAAGATTGATCAAATACTAGCTGATCATCCATTCATGAGAGATCTTAATGCATTGTCTGCCATGGTGCTTGACTGAGTATCATACAGGGGGTTTATATCACAACTGATCTGACTAACTTTGAATATCAATGTGAAGAAAATTGTTGCTCTTTTATGTTACTCTGTGAATATTCAGAACCTAATTTTATTTGTATAAACAAAGATATTTTTTGTGTATGTTCTGTTGCTAATAGATGCCAGTTTTTGGTAAATTAAAAACTGCTGCTACTACAGATTTGTGGTAATATTTTCTATGAAAACAAATCTTCTGCTTCACTTGAATTGCTTATAAAAGCAGTAGCAGTTCTAAAGAACTGTTACCACTTTAAATGGTGTGTTAGCACTTTTTAAAAAAACCTTTCTTCAAAAGGGAAAAATCATGTCAGATGCTTAAAAGTGACTCTTACAGTTTCAGGTATATTTTCAAGATGCATGCATAACTTACTATAACATAAGCCATGCACCTGTTGGATACTATTGTCCATGTTGGTTTCTAGAGTATAGATAGTCTTAGAAAACCTGTGGTCTACTGGTACCTCTTCCACTACGAGCTTCGAAATATTTCTCTGTGGAAGTAAAACAGACCCTTTTAATATTTTCAGATAGGAAGAATTTTACATTGTGTATGTGTGAACCTGCTTTCCTTAAGCCTGCATCATGGATTTTGGAAATAGAGTGTGCTCCCAAGGGTCTTCTGGACAGCAGTTTGAAAGCCCACTGTATGGGGTGTGTTGTTGAAGTACTGTCGCAAGGTGGCGTTATGCATCTTTGTAATCGACAGGAAGGCTTCTGACATATTTTGATGTGCTCGTTCTTATATAAAGAAATAATCGTTCTTGCATAAAGAAAGATTAAATGCAAGACAGGTAACTGTGTTATTCATTTAATATACAATTTTATCCATCTTATGGATACCAAGCAGCCTTCTATATTACAGGCAGCTAAGAAGCTTTGTATGTATGGGTAAAATCTTAGTGCCCATTGAATGAAAACCAAGAAAAATTCATTCAGGTTGAGAGATACTGTGCTGGAGTAGTTAGGAGAGGGAAGGTTTCAATTAGAAAATGTAAATTCACAACTCTTCTCAATAGAAGATAATTGTGATGCTTTAAAAGTCTGTGATACCTACATTGGTTTTTAAGTTGGAAATTCTTTTGACCGTCAATACTCTTTCAGAATAATTTCAGTATCTTTAACAATATGCGCTGTTACCTGTTTGGTTTTGCCCTGCCTGTTCTAAATCTGAATGCTGGGATAAGCTATTAACAGAATGTGATACTGTTTATGGAGAAATGGCATGCTGTCTTGTGGAGAGCTAATACACTGCAGTTAACAGTCAGCTCCATCCCTTTCAATCTGTTCTGGGATCTATCCCAGAAGTAGGGTGGAAAAAAAGAAACATAATTTAATAAGACCACTTTTAAGAGCAGGAGCAAAGTGAATATTACTGTGTGTCTATGTCTCTGTAGACACTTAAGTCTGTTATACCTTCCTTTTAACTGATTCCTGGTGCTGTGTTCTCATCAGTGAAATCAAATTAGACTGTAAAAAAAATGTGGGCTACAGAGCCCATGTTAAACTTCTGACATACTGAGCCTTACCCTAGAGAAGTATAGTGGCTTTCTTTCCAGTTCCCTGGGTTCTGAATTCACTCCTTGCTTGTGTGCAAAAGACGTGAAATATACTGAGGAAATGAGGATCTTGAAAGTCTGTCTTCTTGCCTGGGCCTTTCATATGTCTTGTGAAGCCAGAAACAGAAGGCAAAGTCTTACTCTTCCCTCAACAGGAATAAGGTGAAAGATGATTGCAGCAAGAGCAAAAGAAAAGTATTAGGAACAGTTATTATAGCATCTCAAAAATACAAGTGAGGATGAAGAAAGGTTTTGAATGTGTTTCTACATCCAAATAGACCATTCTTCATTTTTATTTTTTTCCTATATAAATGAGCGGGCAATTTCAATAGTCAGGTGGGCAGAGTCATTCTGACCAGCACGTATTTGCCAAGAAGCAGTGCTTGCCTACTAAATGCTATGTGATAGCCAGGTTTTGTCCCCATAAAAACTTCAGCAGGTTCCTAAAGCCTGTTGTCACTGATTGGCATTGGTATGGTTTTGATAAGAGTAAGGGAATAGGTTATGACCAGTGAAGGGCTTTTACTTAACAGCGATAGGATCCCAAGGAGGACACTGGTGGTGAATTGGATAATTCTGCTTACTTCTACATTGGAGTGAGACATGGGAACTTTGGGTCAGCTTCTTAATTCCTAATAAGCTCTTCTAGAATCAAGGAAATGGGTCGTCAAGAGCAGTACAAACTATTCTATGCCTCCTTTGCATATTAATATACTCAATACTGAAACCAGCTGTGCAGTACAGAAGTGCAGATAAAGAAATATAGTTTTGGTTTCATTTGTTTGTCACAAGAAAGGAAGAAGATAAAAATTGGAGTATGACACTGCAGGGGCAGCAAAAGACAAGTACCACATTGATTACTATCTAGTGTGGGAAAATATGGTGAAGTACGTAAACTCTTCACTAGCTACCATGAGTTAGGGAACCTATATTCATGCTAGTAAATGCTGATGTGCTGTTCACTTCTATGCTAAATGTCCAATTTGAAAGGAATTAAAGAGGAATGTAGCATCAAGTGTTCAGCAGAGTAGCAGCTGATTACTTTTGCGTGACACATGAAGCCTGGTTGTGAATAGTATCTGAAACCTGTAATCTTACCACTTTTTCACAGATAGAGGACAGACTTGACAAATTAATTGATTTTGATGGCAGAAGGTTTTTGCTGGATATCAAAACAAGCTGTCACAGCTAAAGTTCATGCAAAATTATACCAAGTGAGGCTAAAGGCTCTTTGGTTTCTATTTTTCTTTTTTGAAGTTCTATTGCCCCTTCAGCTTTAAGTTTTAAATACTGTGTCTCTGTTAGTGGCAAAGGTGACAAATATAACCAGTATGGTCTGAATTTTCCTTGAGGGAAATGGGTGGAGCTGTTGCAATGCTATGCCATATGGTGGAGGAACACCCAGGGTGGCATCTCAACTGCACTTAGAACAAAACCACTGGTGTCTCAGTTTTATTTTCACTTGTTCTTAGTTCCCTGTTAGCCTACTTATTGTAAGTATGGCTGTTCATAAAATCCATAAACAGCCTCTTTCAGTGCGCAATAGCACTGCATGAAACACAGCAACCAAGAAAGCTTTCTTGCACCAAACAGAATAGTTTTTTGTTTGGATTTTTTTAATGGCAAAGATAATATGTTTGGGGTTTTTTTATGCAAGAAAGTTGGTCTGTGATTCTCCTTCATCAACTGTACAAAGTGCTCAGTAAGTCTGAATGAGGCCAGCGTGTTCCTGATAACCTAGAATAAACTAATTTTCTGTGAGATGGTATATATTGCTAGTACAGCTTTCAATTTCTTAGTATTTCCACTGAAAAGGGAAGGTAAAGGAGGATTTCTGTGACCTTGCTCAGAACTTTCCTGTTGTCTAGGATAAGATAGTCATAATTCCAAGTAGATACAAATACTTTTACATGAACAGAACAGCCCTGAGTTTACCTGTGATAGTAAAAAAAGTGCCAAAACCCAGCAATAAGCAACAAAAACCCCCCAAAATTCTAGGTATATGCATCATTTCCTAGCGCCATACTAAAATAATAAAATATCATAATCGCCTGAGTGCATTCAAGCAATTGTCTGTGCGATAACTAATGTATAACTGTGGTTTAGTTCTGCATGTGTAGCAAACAGCGTAGTTCAGATACCTCTGAATTTTTCAGTTTGGGACCCAGGATCCAGCTCTAAGCAATGATCTTGGAGCTCTCTACTCTGCTTCCTGCATTGCTTCCAATCCCAGACAGCTCAAACTTCAGATATATTATTGGGTTCTGTGCTGGCAAAAGCAGCTTACAGTGAGTGACATGATTTTGCAAGCAAGTCCTGCACTGATGGTGATTTTTTTTTCCTGCTGGACCTGAGCTAATGCCATCAAGTGTCTTCATACTGTGTTTCCCAGCGTGTCCCATAGTGTGGTATTTGGGCTTTCTTCTCCTACCAGCGTTAATACCTTATGTGTTCCAGGCACCTTTTCCCACATCATCTTGGAAGACACAAGTTGACTTAACCGAAGAGAAAAAGCACATCAGTTTCAAAATATGAGATATACTGTTGTATTTATTGCAAAATACTATTTCCTAATGCTACTTTGTATGAAGAAAGAAAAATATTAAAAGTTGTCAAAATACTATGGTATGTGGGAAAGCTTTTCTTCACTGAAAAAAGTTAGAATGAAAACCTTGATGTGAGTAGGTAAAAAGCTCTAGGAAGAGACTGTTGCAGAACTGAACAAGTTTTTTTCCACACAGTCCCACAGGAACATTACATAGGTCCATTCACAAGTTTGCTGAGGACAAGGGAGTGCCTATTGGCAGCATGTAACTCACTGGCTACGCAGCAAGTACTCACGTGTTCTTTTGCCTATTAAAAAATACTAATTAATTAATGATAAGCTAATAACATGATTGTAAGTCGCCTTTTGTTTAACGCAGAGAATGAGCATGCAGAAGGTCAATTTATAGCGTGAATATTACTGCATAATTCCCATTCCTTTTATAGATAAATCTGAGACAATGCTCAGATTTTAATGGATGGAAAATGTGGAAGGGCTTTGACATGAGCAACTACAGAATTGCCAAGGAGTGTATTTTATGAGTATCTTGTTTCTTATCAACCAAAACATTCCACGTAGATGGCCAGCATAATCATTCCCATTTTTCAAACAGACACTGAGGCACAAGAATAAAACAGCTTGCCTAATACTGCTGAATATGGCGGATGGAAGTGGTAACCAAACTGCTACGCCTCACCACAGCAACGAGCTCCTTGATAAATCCCTCCTCATCTCACCACATCTATGCTGCCTACGCAGATGTCCAGGGTTGATGTGAAGATTTTTCTCAGCTGGCTCCAGCATCATCCACCCTTAAGCAGCACCACACAGCCCTGCTGCTGTGGAAAATGAGGCCTCTGAGGGCGTCCATCTTGTTCCAAGTCAGGTGAGCTGTGGCAGGGAGGGAGGGAAAAGGGGCGTGAGGAAACAGGAAGGCTGGGAGGGTGGCTGTGACCAACACAGTGCTTAAGGGGAGGCTTTGTGAGCTTGTATGGCAGCCTGGGCAGCAGCCATGCTGGTTTCTGTGCCTTGGCCCAGTTTTGCAGCTGAAGCGGGC